TTAAGGTTTAATGATTTAATATAATTGTTTTTGTTAATTATATTAATTATTTTAATTTATTGTCTATATGTCATAATTAGGAAGAGATGAAAGAGAATTAGTGTGTACTATAATTGTTTTAGTGATTTAGTATAATATGTTTTTTAACTAAATTGTGATTGACTAATAGAGAGAAACTGTGAATAAGGAGTATATATAAAACCAAAAATTGTCAAATAGTAATTTTGTGGGTCCTACTACTCCTAACTTAGACGGTCTAGATCGTATCTACGATCTGCCACGACGATATCGCGTACTATCCACGTCAGACCAAACGAAGATGCTTTCTAAAGTGTACATCTTTAAATATATTTCACGATATAAGTTTGGGTCAAACAGATAGGTACGGTCGATGCACGTTACGTGGGACCCGCAGGGAGGCAGACCTAATTTCGGTACAGTCAGAGTAAATCGCATGTTCCTGATCCTACCGTGGAGCCTCCATTACTAGCCGCTTCGATATCACCACGTGTTCTGCTGACAGCCGTAATCACACGCGTAAACAGATCTCTGACTCTAACACCAACACTTGTTTCCGTACTGGATCACTGAATCAGAGCCAGGGGCATTTTCGTCATTTTGGTTAAACCCTGAAACACATCTTCTTCTTCCTTGTTTTTTCTTCTCCTGTATAAGACCACGAAAGAAAAGAAAAAAATTGAAAATTGGAGAGGTTCGGTTTTGTTTTCCCCCCCACCGGAATGTCCGAAGGTGTGACTGGTCGGGTAGTGATGAACCCGAAACTGAAAACTGGAAACCAAATTCGGATCCTAGAAGAACCGGTTCACCATTCTTTACTCTATCTCCGAGCTGTGTTCCTCTTCATTCCCACTTAAGAGAAAAAGCTTCACATATTTTAGTTTCCCCGGAGAAAAATCCATACTTTTCCGATTCAAAACCAAAAAAAAAAAACCAGAGGAGGAGAAATTTAAACACGTTTTTTGTTTGTAAGTTTTTGTTTTTTACAAACTTCTTTCTGTTGCAAATGTCGGCGTCTCCCTCCATTTTATCCGTTTTGTCGGAAGATCTTCTGGTTCGGGTCTACGGTTTTCTTGACCCACCGTGTCGGAAAACGTGGCGTCTCATCAGCAGAGATTTCTTCCGAGTCGACTCGCTGAGTCGGACCTCGATCCGTGTCCTCCGGGTCGAGTTCCTCCCCGCTCTTCTCCTCAAGTACCCCAATCTCTATTCCCTCGACCTCTCCGTCTGCCCCAAACTCGACGACGACGTCGTTTTGCGTCTGGCACTCGACGGCGCCGTTTCGACGACGCGCCTGAGGTCACTGAACCTGAGCCGAGCCTCCGCGGTCCGAGCCAGGGGACTTGAGACGCTCGCGCGTATATGCCACGCTCTCGAACGCGTCGACGTGTCTCATTGCTTTGGGTTCGGCGACAGGGAGGCGGCGGCGCTTTCTGCTGCGGCGGGGCTGAGGGAGCTGAAGATGGACAAGTGCTTGAGCCTAAGCGACGTCGGATTGGCGAGGATCGTTCTCGGATGTAGTAAACTTAACAAGATTAGCTTGAAATGGTGTATGGAGATCTCCGATCTTGGGATCGATCTTCTCTGTAAGAAATGCAAGGATTTGAATTCTCTCGATGTCTCATATCTTAAGGTTCGTTTCAAAAATCATCTCTTCTCTGTTTCGGCATTTCGATTCTTGACGTTTGATAGTGAATTGGGGTTGAATTTGAAAACTTTTTGATTGATTCCTGGAATTTGATGTCAGATGTGTTCAAAGTTTCTATCTTTGCAGATCAATGTGAAAATTGCATAATGTGACAGAAACCTTTCTTCTGATTTCGATTCAGATCACGAATGATTCGATCAGCTCAATATCTATGCTGCCAAAGCTGGAGGTTTTAGATATGGTGTCTTGCCCTTTGATAGATGATGCTGGGTTACAGTTTCTAGAGAATGGTTCTCCTTCATTACAGGTACTACTTTGCCTTAACACAGAAAGCTCTTTCGTCTGTTGAATATTCGAATTTTAAAACGTGTAAGAACTATTACAGGCGATCGATGTCACAAGGTGTGATCGTGTGAGTTTGTCCAGCTTGATCTCCATTGTCAGAGGCCATCCTAATATTCAACACCTTAAAGCCAGTCATTGTGTATCCGTAAGTCTACAATAGAGGCCTTAATAGCTCAAAAAAGTTTGATACATTGTACATATAATCATGGAGGACTCTCTAATGAATAGTAATATCTTTCTGATTCACAGGAAGTCTCTGCGAGCTTCTTACATCACATCAAAGCGTTGAAGCATCTCAAGACTATATGTATCGATGGAGCTCGTGTCTCTGATTCGTCTCTTGAAACCTTAAGCTCAAGCTGTAGATCCTTAACAGAAATTGGAATGAGCAGGTGTGTTGGTGTGACAGATATTGGGATGATGGGACTTGCAAGCAACTGCTTAAACCTGAATACCCTAAATCTGGCGTGCTGCGGATTCGTGACGGATGTAGCCATCTCTGCTGTAGCTAAGTCTTGCCGGAATCTGGGGACTTTGAAGTTAGAGTCTTGTCATATGATAACCGAAAAAGGTCTTCAACCGCTTGGATCTTACTCCAAGTTTCTTCAAGAACTCGATCTTACAGACTGTTATGGAGTAAATGACAGAGGTAAAATATATGTGAAATCCAAATTCTGTTTTGTGTTAAAAGATTTTATCGTTTCAGTATCTTACAGTAAGTGGTTCTGTTTACCGCAGGGCTAGAATATATCTCAAAATGTTCAAATCTTCTAAGATTGAAACTTGGGCTCTGCTCAAATGTCTCAGACAAAGGGATATTTCATATCGGTTCCAAATGTTCAAAGCTTCTAGAACTTGATCTATACCGGTAAAATTTCCTTCCCCCAGACCAGTCTCTGTCCTTGTAGAACTGTTTATAGCTAAATTTTCCAAGGAAAGTTACAATTTCTTGGCAGATTTCTTAATGGAAGATGTTTAATTCATGTTTCTTTTCTAATTGATTCTGCTTTTTGAGTTCAGCTGTGCTGGTTTTGGAGATGACGGTTTAGCAGCTTTATCCCGAGGTTGCAAGAGCTTGAACCGACTCATTTTATCGTACTGTAGCGAGCTAACTGACACCGGGATTGAGCAAATCCGCCAGATAGAACACCTAAGTCACCTTGAACTCCGAGGAYTAAAGAAGATAACCGGTGCTGGTTTATCTGCAATTGCTTGTGGGTGCAAGAAATTGGCTTACTTGGACCTCAAACTCTGTGAGAACATCGATGATTCGGGTTTTTGGGCGCTTGCTTACTTTTCTAGAAACCTAAGACAGGTAAAAAAAAGGCATATATAGGTTAAAACAAATCCGTTTGGAAGTGATTAGTTGGAAATGTATTTGATTATTTGTTTGTTGTACTTGGCTTTGGCAGATAAACTTATGCAATTGCTCAGTCTCGGATACGGCTCTATGCATGTTGATGAGCAATCTGAGCCGGGTTCAAGATGTTGACTTAGTCCACCTGAACCGTGTGACCGTGGAAGGGTTTGAGTTTGCTCTACGAGCGTGTTGCAACCGGCTGAAGAAGCTTAAGCTTCTCGCACCTCTCAGATTCTTGCTTTCATCGGAATTGCTCGAGACCCTTCATGCTCGTGGTTGCCGCATCAGATGGGACTGAAGACAATTACAGACGACGTAGTTTCTCGCGTTTGCTAGACTGCTATTGTAGTTTTTGGGAGGTTAATAAAATGAAATCAGTGAAACTTTAATTTGAATCCATATTGGTTTAATCAGTTTAGCTGTACACCGCCGTGATTTTGCTACAACAGGCAAAAAGATTGGACATGCACAACAACTACTCAATTTTCAGTTTAGAAATAGGTTGATAACTTGATGTATGCATTAGATCTATAAATACTTTGGAATAAATTGCATGAGACACGAGAGAATATGATGATGAAGTGAAAAAGAAGGGTTAATGGCGGTCGTATACTTAGGGTTAAATCAATGACAAAAAATAACATTCAAATTTTGAACAAAAAACTTCCCCCCAGAGGGTTTTTCTCTCTAAAAGAGTGACAAAATTCAGCGCCATTTCTCTTGGTCTTTGCTTCGGCCGGTGACTGGAGTTCATCTCCCGCACTATATCTCTTTCGGTTTTGCTTAGTCCTCTCTTTCGTTCTCTTTTTGTTTTTTTTTTGCTCCTTGCATATGGCCTTCTAGACGTTTTGTTCTTCCTAGAAAACTGTTGAATATATTGTGTTGTTCGTCCCCCTTTGTATTAAACCTCTTTACTTCATCTGCCATTATTTTAATTCTACAAGAAAAAAAGATAAATAATTTATAAGAACTTCTTCCAAGATATGAGAATGTGTTTAACGTACTACCTTATATCACTTATAAACTGAAATTTATAAAACCAAAATATGTACAACTGCATATTTATTATAATTTAGCACTCTATAGGATATATCAATGAACGAGGAAATTAGTACATCAGAAGTGACAAAGATACAGAGAAGCAAACATGATATTTGAAATATAGTGAGAAAAGAGAAATAAAAACAAATATAAAGAAAAAACCATAAACTTATCTAGTTGAATCGGCGAGATAAGACATGAGATTGAGAAGTGTTTAAACAACATGGAGTTAATGGTAAACCTTATTGTTCATCAATGGTGGATTTGAGTATT